TCGACAAAGTAAAAACTGCAAAAGAAAATACCAAAAATATAATGAATAGCCTTTACATTTAAAAAGAATTACGTTATTGATGAAAATTATGAATTTTATTTCGTATTACAAAAACTAATCCTACTAATTATTTTTTTTAATGCATGAAGAAGATTGCGAGGGCCCCTCGAGATATTAAAAATTCACTATACACACAAATTTAAATCTTTTAAAAAATATATCTGAATATGAAAAAACTATAACCACTACTGTTTTTTACAATTTTTTTAAATGTGCTAATGTTTCGTGAGTTTTTCTATTCAAATATAAGTCAAAAAGTTATGACACTTGTAAGTCAGTCCAATAAATTAAATTCAGGATTGACATAGATTTTGAAAACTGAGAAAACCGGGAAAAGTTAGGGGGAACAGAAACCCTGAATTTATAAAGAAAATAGTTATAAATATTAAAAAGCAATATTTTGTCTTTTTTATGATTTCAAATTTAAACAAACTTTGTAATATTTGTTAATTTTAACCATACATTTTTTAGTAATAATAAAATAATGAAAAGCTCTAAATGTTATCTTTTACAACATTAACAAGAGTTTTTGTATTTTCTGCTAAAGCTATTATTTTTAAAAATTAATTATTGGTAAATTTTGCTTTTATTTTTTTTCGTAACGGCTATTAATTTAGATCATATAATGCTTAAAAAAAATGTTTAACGCCTGCTTTATTTTATCTGTATACTTTAATATCCTTCAAGTCCGGGAAACAGAGAATTTCGAAATAGAAAAACTATGTCAAGCCTGAATTTTTATGTGTCAGTTCAGGAATTAATGTTGAACGTATAAAAAATTGAATGTGTCTTTGTTCCCATTCTTGGGAGCGTGTCACAAATAGTGATTTAGAATTAACAATTAATTTTTAAAATGTTTCAGATGGAGACCAACCAAGAGTAGATTAGTATGTTGAAGAATATTCTGTTTTACTTTAAAAACGGGAAAATTCAGTGAATGAAAGCACGTATGTGAAATTGTATAAATTTATGTACAAGAATAAATACCCGGAAAATTTATCTCAGGGCGAACACTTTCATGTTCACGTGCATGAACAATTGTCGTTGGAATTTTCCACCCTAGATTTGACTTCATGTTCTTGTACATGATTATCCATAGGGGAATTCTAATTTTCGAAATTACACCCACGATCTTGTACATGAAACTGTTCAAGAAATAAATGTAGTTTAAAACTACATATGACCTCACACGAGAACTTGTTCTTGTTCATACATGTGCTCGGTTACTAAACTAAATTAGATCCGTGGTCGCAAACGTTTTCCTGTACATGAAACTGTATAGACTTTTGATCACGTACATGAACTTGCACCAGTTCTAGAAAGTAAAAAACTTTTTGCTCAAGATTTCTTGTACATTTTCACTGTTCCAAAATCAAGACTCATTTCTCGTACATGAACACGTACAGGATCAAAACGTGATCATATACATGATCTTACGTATGAAACTATACGGGAACTCGTACGAGAACTTGTTGTTGAACTCCTTCCCATTGTCTGTCAATAAAAAGTCAGGGGTTTCCCAGCGAAAGAGGACCAATTCTTCAAATGCTTTGGCCACCGACTTTCCATCAGCTGATCGCAACGGCTTCACCTCAACCCACCTCGAGAAAAGATCTTGGAACACGACAAGATATTTACACCTACTCTTGCTTGGTGGAAACTCCATCGTGTCCGCTGCCACTACAGCCCAAGGTCGCTCAACTATCCTCTGTCCCATTAGTCCTGCCCGTCCTGCTTGTGATGCCTTGTGAAGCTGGCACTGGGGACATCGAGTGACATACTGGTGGACATCATTCCAGATTCCTTGCTAGTAATATTCTCTCGCCACTCGATTGTACGTTTTCACCACCCCCAAATGACCTGCCGACGCCAATCCATGGCCGTCGTGGAGAACTCTCTCTCTGTACTCCTCAGGTACCACCAGTTTCCAACTATCCTCGTCGCCAACAATCGGAAGGAGTAACGGGTCATTCCTATGTCAATAAAGATGATCGTTCTCAATTTTCCATCCAGGAAAAGGCTCCGGGAATTGTCGAACCAAATCTCGTCGCTTAAGATACCATTGGTCCATAATGGCATCATAGGCATCGATCATCTCCTCGTCATCCTCACTCATCCTGGACAATGCATCTGGGACTTGGTTCAATGCACCTCTCCTGTGAATGATTTCAAAATCCCACACCTGCATTTCCAGGGCCCATCTCGCTAGTCGACCACTTGGGTCTTTCAAGTTTCTAAGCCACTTTAGGGCACTGTGATCTGTGATCACCTTAAACTTGTATCGCTCGATATACGGTCGCAACTTCTTAATCGCCCACAGCAGCGCTAAACACTCCTTCTCCGTGACGCTATAATTCCGTTCTGCCCCTGTCAGAACACGGCTGTTATACATCACCGGATGTTCACCGTCATCAAACTCCTGAGTCAAAACAGCTCCAATAGCAAAACTACTTGCATCACATTAGATGGTGAATGTCTTACTAAAGTCAGGACGGGCCAAAAGTAATAATATGTGAGTGAGGATATTGAAATTTTTAAAATCGTATTCACTTTTCTTTTTCTGCGTGTTTTTTCTTAAATTCAAAATAATCAATTAAAGATGTAGCCACTTTATATTTTAAATCAAAATCTTTTTCGTATCGCTCATCTGTCTTCTTTTCTTTTGCTTCCCACCATAAGCGTTTCCGACATTTCGCCCAGAACGCGCTCTGGGCACGATGGGGTTCTCAACCTACTTAAATAATTGCATCACTGTGTATTATAATGTTAAGTCTGGTTAAGTGGATATAATTGTGGAAACAGCGTTATTTTTCAAAATAGTAGAAAAAGACGCTCTAGTTGCATCTTTGTTTAAACTTAGCCAAAGAGCGACACACTTGACCCAGAACGAGCTCCATACCCAAATGACATTGGGTATGGGACATTCTGACGTAAATATAAAAAACACTAAAAATTAACCATTAAGTTTTCATTATTATGACAGTTGCTATTTAAAAAATGAAAATCGTCAACTTCACAATTAACAATTTCTTTCTAAAACCATTACGGTCGACCGTCATTACTATTTATTTTTACAATATTTCCTCTCTAATTCATTTTTTTCGGAGCACATTCACAAAATGTTTAATGGTACCAGCGAAAATAAATGTAAGTACTTTTCGAATAATTTTATTTGCTTTTTGTGGAGTATCACTCGTATTACGGTCGTTTTCAAATTTTGTACACACGTTTTTACTGATATTTAAATTAAAATAGTTTTTTGAAGACACGAGGCACATCAATTAAATATGTCTCAAAATAATTGTAATAACTTTGATTTCTTACAAGTTATTTTAGTGTGCCAATTGTCTTAGTGAAGAAAAATGATAAATAAGAAGGTTGATGTCGAAAAGGTTAAAAGTGCGGGACAACATTTAAAAGCTTATAACTTTTTTCATACTTAACAAAATGTAAATTTTCTTGTGAAAATATGTTCATCGTTTAATGAACTTTAAAAATACGTATTTTAGAATTAATAATTTTCTTAAATTACAAAGTTGTACCATTTAAAGCATCTGAAAGTATGGTTAGGACAAGTTAATATTGTTGAAAATCGGGTATTGAAAATTGAATTATTAATTATCCGTTCAATAAATTAATGTTAAATCTTTTGAAAATGATCGATCGTAGCTTGAGTTAATATTTCCAACAAAAACCAGGTAAAAATTTATTAAAAATAACAAAATATATGCGAAGGACATAATACTTAAAAGTTCCAGAGATAAGCCCATATATTTTATATTTTATAATTGTGAAAAACTAGTGACAATATACAAATTACCCAATTATTATTCTATTTTAAATATATCTGTAATTTGGTTAAATAATTTATTTGTAATTAAATGTCACAGTTAGTTTTAGGTTATTTATATTTAATTGTTGGACATATTATACTACTTCGTACTTCAGACAATATTTAGATTAATATTAACAATTTTTTATTGCCTACCATCACTATTTTCAGAGAAATTTTTAAGTTACATTATAATATATTTTAAAATTTATGGGAAAACTCTAATAATAAGTATTACAAATTTGTCCATATTTTAATTTTATTTTAATTTTTGAAGACGCATTTACGAATTATTGTGCGATTCTGTTTTTAATAAAAAATTTTTATAAGTATGTATTAAAGGCTTATGAAATTATAGACTCTGAATTTACGATGAGGTTACTGGAAAAATATATTTGCGATGATTTGGAGCCTGAGAATGTAGCAAAAAAATGGATATATTTTTCGTTGACAAAGTATCTCGACTTTTTTTATTCTTGTTTAGAAATTTTTTTTATTATAAAATAAATTGTGTTATTTTTATAATTATACGGGTGATGGTTTTGAATCTTTTCTTTTAGATGTGGGTAGGAAATCCTAAAGTGGGCCCCTAATTTTTCTTAGGTCTAGGAATTTTTTCATTCTTATATATTTCGATAGTCTGTGATTGTATAATAAAAACCTGTAAATAGGTTTCCAAAATTCGAATATTTAAAAAAGCTATTGAAGTTCAAATTTTTTTTAGCCTTGTATAAAATAGCCAATCACATGCAAACAGATGAATCGATTTTAATAAAAATTGAAGGAGAGCCTAATGAGGAATCGTATTTGAGATAAATAATCAAAATTTACATAAAGAACATAATTTGTTTGAATAAATTAGGTTTTTTATGTTAAAAAAATGTAATCTTTACCTATTTCACGATTTGTTTTTTAAAGAATCAAATAGAGTAAACTTTTAAAATTTTATTTAAACAATAAAAAAGTGGGATTCTTTATTATACTTTAGGAAATATAATTTTTTTTTATTAAGATGTACACAGCTTTTTCAATAAAATCGCTTGTAGAAACAATTGATATCTACAATTGGCAATATATATATTGCTAATTTTAGATATCAATTGTTTCTACAAGCATATAAAGATTTTTTTTTATAAAAAAATCTATAATTTGGATTTATACAAATATAACATTTATTTGCATTTGAAATCATAACAAAATAAGAAAAAATATGTTTTTTCAACCAATGTGTTTTATAAATTTCCGGTTTCCCTAAATTTTCACTGATTGAACCAAATTGAGATTACAAATTTATTTTTAGTTGTTTAGATTTCAAGTCACATTTCCGTATGACTCGAGCAACGGTTCAAAGATTGGCTGAAACTTTTGGACTTTCATTAAGCGAACACAGTACTGGACCAGAAAGAATGTGCCCTGAAAAGCAATTATGCATTGCTTTATGGTATTTCGCAAATCAAGAAGTCTACAGGTTCGTAACATAGTAAAATGTATAAATTTAATCGAAAAACAAACAAGTAGGAGATCCTCATAACAGAAGTAATTTGCATTTTATGAACGTTTTGCTTTCCTCAATGCAAGCTGCAAAAAGTTTGCTCCTTATTATTTCTTGAAAATTATATTTTTTATATTTATTTTCGAGCGAATTTTCTACAAATTTTTTGTTTGAATTAAAAAGTGACATGGTTTATATACGGACAAATAAATATTTTGAGTTTGTTTTTGTGTGAATTTTTTTAAAATTTTATCGCAAGAATAAATTTTATTTTATTAGTTTTCCTCCTTTTTAAGAGATGTACAATATGCGAGTAATGTTTAGAAAATTTTTTATTAAAAAAAATTATTATTCTAATTTCGATTTTTGTGATCTATGTTCTAATGTTTTATTATTTACATTTTTTGAGGTGTATAGAATTATATCCAGACAAGTTTTTTGTAAAATATCTTTTTTAATGTATCTTTTGAATAAAATGAGATGTTTTATTATTATGAATTGTAGTAAATTTAAAAGGTAGGAATTTACTTATTAATGCCTTTGCTAAACAGGAAGCAGATATCAAAAATATTTCTATTGGGATCCTAGCCAGGAGCTACTAAAAAACCTAACAGATTAGACATTGTAACCCTAATTATTATAATTTTTAATTAAAATGAAAAATTTGTAAAAAAAATTTGCTTGAAAATATAATTAAAAATTTTTTTTTCTGAGATAAAATTTTTTAAACGTGAATTAAATAGTCTGCATTCTTCAAAACAAAAAACAAAACAGATTTAAAATTCTAAATTTAGTTAAGTTAATTTTCAATTAAAACAAAATTTTTTTGAAAAATTCGCCTGAAAATAAATTCAAAGATTAATGATAATGATTACATTTGCCTTGACGCAAAAGGGTGTTGTACATCGTTTCTGAACCACAAGTAAGTTATATCGGATCTCTCTCTGTAGCTCAATTGGCAGAGCAGCCTACCGGAAATAGGAAGGTTAAATGCCGCTGGGATCGTACCCCAGCGGCGAGAGACGATTCCTTTTTTTCCGAAAATTAGTACAAAAATTTATCATTTGAAATTTGGAGAGACATTTAGTCTCTGATTTCTACCTTATCCGTTTAGGATGAGTTGAAAGTTTGTCTGTAAGATGTCGTTCTAATTATGAAATTCAAAGAATTTATTTTTCCAAAGACAGAATTTTTTCTACACATTTTTCAAATAATCTACATTTTGCTAAACCTAGAGAATCTAACAGATTATAAAATAAAACTTTAATTTATTTAATTTCTAATTAAAACAAAAAATTTGTAAAAAATTTGCCCGAAAACAAATTCAAAAATTAAATTTTTTTAAAGAATAAATTTTGTACATATTCCTTAGATAATCTACATCTATGAGAACCAAGAGAACCTAACAAATTAAGAATTTTAATCTTAATTAACTTACTTTTTTAGTAAAACGAAAAATTTGTAAAAAATTCGCATCAAAATGAACATGATAAATTTATTTTCCCAGCGATAAAATTTTTTACACATTTCATGGATAGTCTACATTACGCGGAAACTTAAAACCTAAGGGATATAAAATTATTTACTTAATTAAGTTAAGCTCGGATTTAAACAAAAAATTTGTAAAAAATTTGCTTGAAAACAAATTGAAAAATTTTATTTTCAAAAAAATAAACTTTTTTACACATTCCTCGGATAATCTACCTCCCAGGGAACCTATAGAACAAAACAACAGAAATTTTTTATCTAAACCGTCTCCAATTTTTGATTAAAGCGATAATTTCTTGAAAAATTCGCCCGAGAACAAATTCAAAAAATTTCTTTTATAATAGACAACATTTTTACATCATTTTTAGATATACCGTAAAATGAGGTAAAGTCGGCGTGTTACGTTCCGAACTAGGCGTGGTTTTTAAATAAAATGAATTTTATTTACTTGAATGTAATAAGGCTGATTAATCAGGTTGGTAAAGCCTGATATTTATTTTTATGTAGGATCGTGGTCACTTGTCAAAACTACGGGTTTTGCGTTACAATAACAAGTCAAATATTCCCTTTTATAACATTTATTGATTAAATAATAATTATATAGTAATGATTATACAATAATGATACAAGTTTACAATTCTTTTACTTACTTTTAGCAATGAAGTCGGATAAATCGATGATTATAGCTTAGTCGTTATAATTGGTTTTGATTTGATTTGAAATAGTTCGTTTTGGTTGCACTTGTGTAACTTTAACGACTTAAATTGTTTTATAACTATTTAAAGAATTGCAATATTCTTTATTGTTATTTCTCGTCACTAGCACCTTTGACAGGAATGAATTTTATAGCAGGTGTAAGAGAAGCAACATATACTAAATTGACAAATTTAGAAAAAGAGATAATGCAAGATTTCTTTAGTATTTATAGTTATAAATACGACAGTTATTTCTATTAAATTATTGATTCTAAGTGTTAATTTGCTTCTCTTGCACCTATTGGCTATCAGGAAAGAACTATGTTCTAAGTGAAAAGTCAAATTAACTTGCACCTATTGGCTATCAGGAAAGAATACAATAATTAGGGCGAAAGTAAACTGAAGGGTCGCTCTACGATGTTAGAGATTGCACCGGAACTTTTGACGAGCTTTATGGAAAAAGCTCTTGTTTATATACTAGTCGATTATGCTAATTAGTGGGAGAAATGTCATATTATTGGGGAAGGGGTGATCTATAAATAGAATCACTTTCCATATGGTAATGATCTACATCGCATGTATGACATTGAATCTTCTTCTTTCTGAATTCTCTCTTTTATATGCTGACAATGGGTTTTTGAAGATCATATTACACTTGGATCTTCACAACCTTCACATTCTTCACGCGTATAAACAAACAAGCTCGAACTTGCTTCACATTTTGCTTACATATATCCTATTTTTAGCTTTTCAACTTTTTGAACTTTTATGGTGAAAACGAATGTCATATCTCTTTTGAGATCGATTTCGTTTCCACACTCTATCCTATCAATATATACATAAATAAATACATTAAAATAAGACATATAGTTTAAGTATTGTAAAATTATCATAGAATTATATAAAATGTCTTATTATAATGATAATTTTAAGGAAAATTAGGGAAAATTGTTACCGGGATGTAACACGGCGTTTGCGGGTAAAGTCGGCCGGCGCTTATTTAAACACTTAAATATTGTATTTCATTTATTAATTTACATTAATTTTAACTACATTTTTAATAAAACTCGGATTTCTTCTGGAAAAAAGTAATAGTTAAACTTTAAAATGATTTAAAGCGCCGGACGACTTTACCCTCAAACGACGACTTTACCCCATTTTACGGTACTACATCACACGTAGCCTAAATAACTTAACATAAAGAAAACAGATAACACACAAAGTCAACTTTGCTTATTTCCAAAAATAAAAATTTTTTTTTTAATTTTTCCGAAAACAAACTAAAAAAAATCTTTTTTTAGAAGGATAAAATTTTTTACACATTCCTTGGATACTTTATATCCAACGGAACCTATAAAGAACTGAACACATTAAAAATGTTAACCTTAACTAAGTTACTTTTTAATTAAAACAACAAATTTTTAAAAAATTCGTCCAAAAATAAACTTCAAAAATTATTTTTTTAATGACAAAAATCTTTACACATTCTTTAGATAGTCTACATTTTGCAAAAACCTAGAGAATCTAAACATTTTAACTTTTAATCTTAACATAAAAAAACATAAAACAATATAAAAATTTTGGTTAAAGTGAAAATTTCTTAAAAAATTCGCCCAGGAACAAAATTCAAAAAAATTAATGTTTTTAAAGACAAAATTTTTTACACATTTCTCGGATAGTTTACATTTTGCAAAACCTAGGAACCTAGCAATTAAAAACTTTAACCTTAACTAAGTCCAATTTATTATTAAAACGAAAAAATTTTGAGAAATTCGCCTGAAAACAAATTTAAAAACTTGATTTTGACAAAGATAAAATTTTCTACACTTTCTACAGACAAAACAAAGTCAACTCTTCGTCTCTTCGAGATGTTCTCGTAGGTCGAAATAATTCTATTAATTTTTAAATGTACAAATTTCTTGTATATTTTATGAATCGAAATTTGTTTATTATTTTTTGACGTGTTACAAAAATATTATATTTAACTTTAGCCTGTTAGGTCGACAAACCCTGGTCGACGAAACGTCGCTAGACAAATGAAATTTTAGGAGTTTTTCATTCATTTTACCTTCCTTGGATCATTTATTAATTATTTCACAGTTTATTTATTTTATTTTCATGTTTATAAAATAAATTAAATGTTGAATGCATTTAGGAAAAAAATATATTTTATAAATAAATAATAATTATAAAATAATAATAAAAATTAGAAAAAATTATAAATTTATATTAATAATTATTATAAAACATTTCTTATAAACTTACCTAATAAAATTCACTGGAAACTTGCTTTCTTATTTTATGGAAAATTTGCTTGTGTTTTTTTTAGGGAATGTTACGAACCGAAAAAATATTAATTATAAAAATTATTATTCCTTATGTCCTGGAGGCACCAAGCTGCCGAAATTAAAAAAATTCCGTTTATTTTATGGGATCGTGTATCCTATTTTAAAAGAAACTGACAAGTTACGTTATTCGAAAGTGAATTTAAGGGATAAACACAATAAAACAATTAAGACCCTTTTATACATTTATTTTATAAAAGAAATTTCGACTTTAAAATAATGAAATGATACAGTAAGATAAGAAGATGGAACGATACATGTTTAAAAACTTACTCTACTGCTTATTATACCGTCGCAAGCTAACGAGGGCGAGGCGTCGAGCTGCTATCCGACGGGCGGAAAAATATGCACACTTATCGAAGCGCGAAAATGTCAATTGGTAGCGCACAAGAATGCACTCCCGGGTCCACCGAATCTAAACAGCGCAGGCACCACACGTGCGGACTGG